CCTTGGGTCAAGGAAGGAAACTATTATCCCATGGAAATGACAATTATTACTACTCTTTTTTTGCTGATGCATATTAAAAAGAATGTATTTACCAGATCGATAGCTATATATTACATTTCTGAAGCTGGGTCCATCAGTCCTGGTGAGGCTCCTAGATGTAGCACAGCAGCTGTAATTGGGGCTAATACTCAGCTAAGTTTGCTTTAGTTCACTGTCACCTTCTGTGATCTATTTGCTTTTTACAGACTGGTGAACTGGATGGGCATATGAAAGGGACTACCACCTAACCCAAAGCATGGTGTTTTCAATAGCCTCATATACATGTGAGAGCTGGACAATGAACAAGGAAGACCAGAGAAGAGGTGATGCTTTTGAGTTGTGGTGTTGGTGAATAATGCTGAAAGTACCATGGACTGCCAGAAGAACTATCAATTCTGTCCTGGAAGAAGTGCAGCTAGAATGCTCCTTGGAAGTGAGAATGGCCAGACTTTGCCTCACTTACTTTGGTCATGTTGTCAGACAGGACCATTCCCTGGAGAAAGACATGCTTGGTAAAGTGGAGGGTCAGCAAAAGAGGGGAAGATCCTCAACGAGATGGATTGACATTGTGGCTGCAACCTTGGCCTCAGGTGTGGCAAGGATTGTGAGGTTGGCACAGGACCGGGCAGTGTTTCCTTCTGTTGGGCACAGGGTCGCTATGAGTTGGAGTTGACTTGACGGCACCTAACAACAACCATTCCTACATCCATTATCTCTGCCATTCCTCCTCAAGATGAAGTATATTTTTTGCTTAACTGTAACGAGTCTCAAAGGTTTCCACTGTATTTACAGATTCTCTTGTATTGTTTTCAACCATGAAGATGCTAATGAAAGCATTTTTTCTACTCCAATAGCTTTTAATCTACAGGCCAAGGAACCAAGGTGAAGAATCTGTCAACTGTTGATTATGTCCATCCATTCTAATCACACAATTAAAATATATATGTTGTTGTTGTTGTTGTTATGT